GTTAAAAAAAAAAAAGGAAGAAGAAATATATAGATTCCATTTTTTTTAAGCTGTAAAGATACTGTGGTGGTTGGTTGGTTATGTGCCATGGAGTCGGTTCCGACTCACAGCAACCCCATACAGGGTTTCCGAGGCTGTAAACTTTACGGGAGCAGAACGTCTCATCTTTCTCCCGCGGAACAGCTGGTAGTTTCCAACTGCTGACCTTGAGGTTAGCAGCCCAATTCGTAACCTCTATGCTACCAGAGCTCCTTAGACCCTGTTTGGATCATAATTCAAATAAATATACAACACAATCAGAAATATGAAAGCCTGACTAGATATTTGTTGAGACTAAGAAATTGTTAATCTGATTAGACATCATCATGGTGTTACTGTTGTATTTACGAGGCCCGTATTAATAAAAACTAGACATCAAAATACAGATGATAAAATTTGGGGAATGTCTGGAATTTTCTTCCATGGGATGGAAGAGACAATGAAAACTGAATGGTCATAAAGTGGTGCTGGGTATGCTGGGCAATGGGAACATGGGAATGCATTAGCCTATTCTCTCTACTTTTATGAATATTTGAAATTTTCCATAAAAAAAATTTTTTTTAACTCGCTTTTCTCTCCCTATCCACTTCTTAGGCTAACTCATTATAGCTTTTTTTTTTAATTGACAGTATCTTATCAGTCTTAATAATGCCAGAAATGGCTAGATTCATCAAAGCTGCCCCTCTTTCCTTGGCAAAAAATAAAAACTTGGTTTCCCTTTAAGTGAAATTTTGACATGATTACCATTTAGATGCCAGATCACTTTAGTGCACATTCCATGGCATAATCTCCACAAGAATCCAGCCACTGGGGCCAAAAAAAGATTTCTAAATGATTATATATAATTAGATATATATATAATCTAAATGATTAATAATGATCATTATTTCTAATCCTCACAATTGTGTGTTCTTTCTTTTTTTCACAAAATTAGTCCCATATATACTATACTTGACAATTCTATTTTGAGAAAGGAATTCTAAGTTAGGTTCTCAGAGCAACTTCTCTCACCATACAGCAAATAAATTAGGTTCCCTGTGCCCAAGCTGCCTTTGATTCAAAATGACTCCATGGCATATAGACTGGAAGTGTGTGAAAGGTGACCATAGTGTTGATCATGGTTTTGATGGGAATTATCATGGGTAATAAGGGAAAGGTGCCTCATTTGACTCTGCCTCAGCTCTCCTCCAAGGAGCTCTGGAAGCATAGTGGTTATGGCACAGGCTGCTAACCTCAAGGTCAATAGTTTGAAACTACCAGCCATTCCATGAGAAAAAGATGAGACTTTCTGCTCCCATAAAGAGTTACAGCGTTGGAAACCCTATACAGGGTTGCTATGAGTTGAAACCAACTCCACGGCACACAACCACCACCACCAGCTCTTCCCCAGTCCCATTCTCTCCTTACTGACCCTGCCTGTATGGCCATTTTTCCTTCCATCTAACTCCTCCATTGTTCCAGAATGCCATGGGTTATTCTCCTGAAGTCTGGCTCTGTCTCTCTGCTCTTCTCATTTAACAACCTTTCTATTTTGTTGATGTTGTTAAGTGCCCTCAAGTCGATTCTGACTCATAGCGACCCTTTATAGGGTTTTGGAGGTGAGCTTGAACCGCTGACCTTATAGAACCTTTCTATAAGCGCCATCCATTTGACACCACCATCTCAGACACCAAGTTGTTAACAGTGTGCTTCCTAGGGTCCTTCCAAAATTTGGCTCATCAAGAACTGTCTGAATGATCAGATTGTGAGGTGCTGGTGGACAGGGGAGCATTGTCAACTTTTCCAGACCCTCCACAAAGCCAGCACAGTGCATGCTCTTGGCAGCTGGTAAATACTCTTTGGCTGACTGACTGAAAATCGATTTTCAAATGCGCAAGGGGAGAACATGTACAGGTCTACTGGACTGGTGCAAACTGAAAAAGTTGCCACTGAGCCACATGATTCTTTTGTGCAATTTTTAAAAGGTATTTTCTGGGGTCCTGATAAAAATCTGTTTTGATTTTATGATATGTCATGGATGTATGCATAGGTTAAAACTCCATCAACCTTTGCATCTGAGTGTATATTAGGCTTATCTCCATAAAAATAAATGAATGAATAAACAAATACAAATCATCCTTTCCTCTAGGAGGATGCAACCTACATTAGGACACACAGCCTGGAGAGCAGAGCTTGGGATAGGGTTTGGTCTTCCCTGATCTGATACTCCTTGGGAAAGGCACAGCCTGCATTGCACACGGAGAACTGGAAACCAGAAGCAGGGAGGCCTGCCTTGACAAACTCTCTGATGTCCAAAGCCCCATCTCACCCAAGCGATCTGAGAGGCAGCACGATGGGTGTGGCAGGTCTGTTACTCATGGGATTCAAGGTAAGCTCTTCAGCTGCCAATGCTGGAGCAATTCCATCAGACAGCCCAAATCAGCTCTGTATGATGAAAAGACTAAGGCAGCCTAGGGTGACTAGAAGTACCGTGACAACAAGAAAAAGCCAAGATTCAAATATACATAACCTCAGTTCTGTGCCTCTTTTGGGTTTACTAAAATATCTCTACCTTCCCTGGCCCTCTATTCACCTCTAATAGGTTTCAGATTGCTCCAAAATTCACAAGCTTACTTGAAACAAACATGACTCTTTGCCAATGATCTTTCCTGAATGCCCAGCAAAAGCACATGCCATAGGGCTTTTTCTCCATCAATGGACCAATCTGTTCAGCAGCATCTCAGAACAGAACATGCTAAATTTGGCATCAGGTACCCGAGATGCTCTGGTGGGAGGAAGTAGAAGCTGTTCTGATGTAGAAAGAGAGACAGAACTATGGAGGTGCTGCTCAGCTGAGGTGCTATAACAAGCCAAAAGCAGCTAGAGGAGTAAATCCCATCTCCTAAGGGAACCCTGGAGCCCTGGTATGGCCCTGCAGGCTAATGCGCTGGACTGCAAGGTCAGTTTGAACTGCAAGCTTGGTGGTTCAAGCTCACCAGCTGCTCCTTGGAAACTCGGAACTGACTTAACAGCAGTTAACAACAACAACAAAGGGAACCCTGGTGGCACTGTAGGTAAGCACTGGTATGTTAACTTCAAGGTTAGCAGTTTAAACCCACTAGCAGCTCTGTGAAAGAAAGATTTCTGCTCATGTAAAGATTTAAACCCTAGAAACCCTATATAGGATTGCTATGAATTAGAATCAACTTGATGGTAACTTTGGGTTTAAGGGTTCCCCAGTTTGAGCTTTAGTGACAAATGGCCAATCCATCCCCCTGAGCTAGACAGTCACAAGACCTCAACACAAAAGGCCTATGTGCAAGCCTTCCCCACAGTCAGGTGAGTCACTAATTCCAGCAGTATCCTACAGTTTCCTTCACCTCTAGCAGTATGTGGGTCTGCCCTGTGGCAATCATAGATAGGGTAAGAATTAAACATTAAATGAGACTATAAGCAATAGACACCAGCCTCATTCTTGTTCCTCTGAGCTGCCCAAATCTTTTCAAAATTTCACCTGCTTGACTCTGCAACATCAGATAAGCCACCAGCAAGCAGCCTGTTTGATTATGAGAAGAGAATACGAAATTCGCCATATTAGAGAACTTCCAAAAGCAAATTGTTTTTCCATTCAGCTCTAGATGCTTTTCTCTGGAGAGAAGGTACTATAAAACCTGGCTGAGCCTCCCTCAAGCTAAAACCCAACCAGCAGCTCAACATACAGCAAAATGAACAATGTTTGCAGTCCTAAGAGCTGTGTGTTTGCTATCAACTTTATTACTGTAATAATGCAATATGGACAAATCCCATCTCTAAAAGGGATGATCATAGGTCAGCCTATCTGTGGCAGAGTCCTTCATTGTTGTTAGTTTTCTAAATAATGACATCTGATGAAATAAATACATGAAAGACACAGTTGGACAGCTAAAGAAAAAAAAATGTATCATAGGCTATATGCTCACACACACACACACAAGAAAAAAAAAAAAAGGCAGTATATATCAGCAGATTCACATAGAGGCGGAAGCAACCCACCCCCAAGTTCTGCTACTCCCCAGGCTTATTTGGTGTAAAGATAATGTCTTCCATTTTATCTTGACGTCTCTTGGTAGCTTTCCTGAGTTTTCGGTCAACTGATTTATTATATATTGACATTCCCTTCCATTGCATTCACTGCCATTTGATTGTTTTTGCAGGTCTATTTTAAGCAAGCTGGTTTCATAGCATTTGATGAGATATGTTCTGTTTAAGGTATTCCATGTGGGTTGCAACTGTTTCACTGGTTTGAGGTAGTAATCTAAATCATAAGGCAACAGGAACAGATTTAGTGCTAGATTACTCAATAGCATTTTTGCTTCACCCCAAAGCATTTCACTAAGCCTTGGTGAAAGCATATGACCCTGCTAGTATTATTGGGTCTAAAAAAGTACCTTTTAGTGTCCAGTGAGCATTTTTCCTTTCTGCAAAGATGATTATAGCCACTAATTGCCTAGAAAAAGCACATGACTAAGTTCATGGTTCAACTATTTCCATATCTCGTTCCTAGCAGTGACACTTACCTTCCCTGACAGCCACTCCCATTGTGCTCTTTCCTCGACCCAACACAATGGACACATGCAAACACCAGGAAACAGAGAGGACCTTTTTCATCCCACTGCTCCCCAGAGCTGATCAGCCAGGCTGAGGTTACATAAGCCCCCTTCTGAGCGGTCCAGCCCTGGCGTTGGGGGGATGAAAATTTGGGGTTCGTGATGGAGTCACGGTCTGAAGGCCTTGAGTGACCCTGCGTTTGCCATCCAGCCTCGCCCAGGCTGGGCGTCCGGAAAGGGAGGGCGGCTTCCCTCGACCACCCAGCTCACGCCCACCAAGCAAGGTTCAAAGCGCGGCCGGACGTCAGATCTCTAGGTCTACACTAGATAGTGGGTTGCTAGCCCCAGTCACAGGCTGCAGCTCCCCGCCCCCCGGGCGTCAGGACGCGCGCTTACCTGCCCGGACCAAGGCCGGGGCCGGGACCGGGGCCAGGACCCGGGCCAGGACCCGGTGGTCCAGCCATTGCCCGTGCTGCGCCCGCCGCGGGGAGCTGTCCGCCGCCAGCCGGTGCTGAAGGCGGCTTCCCAGCGCCGGGGCCGACGCCGGGGCTGAGGCCGGGACCGACGCCTCCAGGCGGCAGCGGCCCATCGCCAACGCCGCCCTCCAGGCTGGCCTCATTGCCCATGGTGGGTGGGTGGGCGGAAACTAGGTCGCGTTGGGCCCGGGCCGGCGGCTCCCGGGCGGCTGCTCACACGCTCGGCGCCGCCGCCGCCGCCGCCGCCACTGCCGCCATCTCCCAACTCGGCTAGCGCTGCCGCCTGCTGCTGCGCATGCGTGGTCCGCGCGCCCCCTTCCCTTCACTCGTCCCCGTTCTCCCCCCACCCCTCTCGCGCGCTCCCGTCAGGTTGCGAGGACGCGTGCCCACACGCTAGCCTCTAGGTCTCCGGAAAACGGCCACCAGCGTCCACGCATGCGCCCTCCCGGGTCGACGCGGCCGGCGGGAGCTCCCTGCGGGTTCTAGGTGTGAGTTCCACCGGGTCTGTTCGCTGGGCTCTAGTAGCGAAAATAACCTGGGGGACAGCGCACCCGCACGTCCTGGAGAGCTCAACAGTGGGGGCTCTCCTTGGGTAGCCTCAGTGCCGCAGTGGCGGGCGTTCTGGGGGCCGACCTGAGAAAGGGTCTCTCCGCTTATGACCTCAGAAGCTGGAAAAGCAAAGGAATAAAGATGTTCGGAGGCACAAGATCGTGAGAAGACTGAGAGTTATAGGTGGTGGGAACGAATTGTGAGCTTCCTGAAGGACAGCTGGAGAGTGAAGACTTACCCAGATAGCGGTGTGAACCACTGGGGATTCACACGGAGGCCTGGTCCCTGGATACAGGACCAGGGCAGACTGGGAGCAGCAGCGCCTAGGACAGTGACTGAGAATGAAAAAGAGGAGTTGATGTTTCATGGTGGCCTTGAGCTCTGGCTCCCAAGCACTTTCTGGATAAGGGACTGCTTACCGTCTCTGCGTTCATCTGAAAGTTTAATAAATTACGTTTCCATTCCCTCAATCCGGTTTACAAATAATCACTGTGTGCGCACTGCTCAGATGCTCTTCCAAATAGTTCCTCACATGAGCCTGTGCTTTCCTGGGGTAGAATAATTTCCTAGAAGACCCAGACTATGTTCCAAACTATCTGTGGCTTCATAAATCATGGCTCTGTTGAAGTAAACTTGAAACTTGGGCCCATTTTATTTTCCTAATAATGAGAACTATGTCAGATGAAATGTCAGCAGTTCTAAACGGACATGAAATAATCCAGGGATCCATGGAACTCTGACAGAGAGATAGGAGCTGTGTCAATGTGGGGATGAGGGCCCAGGACTTTGGCTGGGCTTTCTCAGCACTCTGAGCTGCTCCTACAAAACTCTGGAGTGGGTAAAAGAGGGAGGAAATGTAGGGATTCCCTTCATGGTGTTTTCTCCTGATCTTCTGCTGGCCTTTGAGCTAAGCTGCCTAGACTTGCTAGACCATCAGGGAGGGATAGGGAGGACTCCCCTGTCTGTATTATGATAGTCCTTACTGAGTTTCCTCTTGTGTGACAGGCCGTTTGTGTCAGCCTCACCACTTCCTGGCTGGGAACTTGACAACTGTCTTAGGCTATCCAAGTTTTCATTTCCTAGCTGTAAGAAGTTCTGGTGACAAAATGGTTAAGTAAGTGGTCGGCTGCTAATCTGAAGGTTATCAATTCAGATCTACCTGACTTCTAGGAGAAAAGACCTGGCAATCTACTTCTGTAAAGATTACAGAGTAGGAAACCTTATGGGTCAGTTCTACTCTGTCCTAGAGGGTCACTATGAGCTGGAATCAAGTCAATAGAACACAACAACAAATAGTTCTTCTAACATGGGAAGTTGTGATACAGAGTGGTCTGGGATTTGAGGGATTTGTACCACGCACTAACTCCTTGTGGATAACAAGCACACAGTAGCCAGACTGAGATCCAGACCAAACCCATCTGGCTTCACAGACTCCAGTCAGTGAGAGTTGGTCTACTTGGAAGAGAAGAGAAAGATGCTTGGTTTTTGTTTTTTGTTTTGTTTTTGCAAGAGCTGTGGTTTTCCACAGATGTAAATCAGCATGTCCCAGGTTCCTGTGGGGGTAATTAGCCCTACTCAACTAGCAGACCTGGGGAGTTGCCCTCCTTAGAGTGGATTCTCAGCTGTTAGCAGACCTCCAGGGCCTCTGCTGCCTTGGTAACAAAGGACAAAGCATAGTGGGCCCAGGAGGAAGTGTGGGTTAGTGGTACCCCTCCTCTCTTCTCAAACTCTCCTAGTTTCGTTTCCTCTGAGGAGCATCCTTAGGAGAACATGCTTGTCAGTCTAAATTCACCCCTGTATTCCCAGCCACTATATATGCCAGTCATGAGATGGTGCCAGTTAGCCTCTGGTTGTCTAGGGCTCTGATTTAGTCTCCTATTCTTACTCTCTCTAGGAGTCATTTCCTTCCTATTGACTTAGATTGTTGTTGTTGTTAGGTGCCATCGAGTTGGTACCAACCCATAGCGACCTTATGCAGAGCAAAATGAAACACTGCCCAATCCCGGGCCAACCTCACTGCTGTTACCACGCTTGAGTCCTCGATGTTGCCACTTGACCAATCCATCTCGTTGGGGGTCTTCCTCTTTCTTTCTGACCCTCCACCTTACCAAACATGATATCCTTCTCCAGCGACTGCTCCCTCCTGACAATATGTCCGAAGTATGAGAGACGAAGTTAGGCCATCTTGACTTCCAAGGAGCACTCCAGCTGCACTTCTTCCAAAACGAATCTGTTGGTTCTTTTGGCAGCCCATGGCACTTTCAATATTCTCCTCCAACACCATAACTCAAAAGAATCAGTTTTTCTACGGTCTTCCTTATTCACTGTTCAGCTTTCATATGCATATGAGGTTATTGAAAATACCATGACTTGGGTCAGGTGCACCTTAGTCCTCAAGCTGACATCTTTGCTCTTCAACACTTGAAAAAGGTCTTATGCAGATTTGCCTAATGTAATACGTCGTTTGATTTCCTGACTGCTACTTCCATGAGTGTTGATAGTTGATTCAAGAAGAATGAAGTCCTTGACAATTTCAATCATTTCTTCGTTGATAAGAATGTTGTTTATTGGTCCCATGGTGAGGATTTTTGTTTTCTTTACATTGAGATGTAATCCATACCTAAGGCTGTGCTCTTTGCTCTTCATCAGTAATTGTTTTAAGTCCTCTTCACTTTCAGCAAGGTTGTATCATCTGCATAT